CCCAGCAATTGAGTCCCTCAGGGAGTTTGGATGTGTCTATGAGGCTTCCATGACCTTTCCTTGTACAAGTTATGCTGGTTTCCCCTGTATTCCAAGCCATGATATTTTCAGTTGCCCTATGTGCGTGCGAAAGCTGGACAGTGAATAAAGAACACCAAAGAAGAACTGATGCCTTCAAATTGTGGTGTTGGTGAAGAATATTGAATATACCACAGACTGCCAGAAGAACGAACAAGTCTGTCTTGGAAGAAATACAGCCAGAGTGCTCCTTGGAAGAGAGGATGGGGAAACTTCGTCTCATGTACTTTGGACATGCTATCAGGAGGGACCAGTCCTGGAGAAGAACATCATTCTTAGTAAGGTAGAGGGTCAGTGAAAAAGAGGAAGACCCTAGACGTGATGGATTGATAACAGTGGCTGCAGCAGTGGGCTCAAATATAGCAATGATTGTGAGGATCATGCAGGACCCGGCAGTGTTTCGTTCTGTTATACATAGGGTTGCTATGAATCGGAACTGACTCGATGGCACCTAACAACAATAACAACAGACTTTAGTGAACAGTTGAAATAGTGTCTTATGGTTCTCTAGAGAAACAGAACCAGTGAGGTATATATATGTATGTATATGTGTGTGTGTGTGTGTGTGTATATATATACACGAGGATAAGTCAGAAAGTATTGCTACAAAATCATAGAAGCCTTTATTAAACAAAAATATCAAAATGTAAAGTTATTGTTTCTCGACATATCCTCCATCTAGGCCGATACACTTCTGAAGGCAGTGTTTCCATCTCTCTAACCCTTCCCCGTAGAATTCTTCTTTCTTTGATTTATACCATGTCAGAACAGTTTTGATATCCTCAATGGATTCAAAATGTGTTTCTTTTAAATGTTCTTTGAGTTTTGGAAACAAAAAAGTCTGAAGGGGCAAGATCAGGGCTGTAGAGTGGATAGGGTAAGGTTTCCCAACAAAATTCTCATAGGACAGCCCTTGCTACCCTGGAAGAATGAGCAGGTACATTGTCATGATGGACAAAAATTCCTTAGTGTGACTTTCCTGGCCTTTTCCTCACCAATGCAGTTTTCACTTAAAACTTCTTCATAATAAGCCCCCACAATCTTCCTGTAAGATGCTCTATCAAGATTACCCCTTTGGAATCCCCAAAAAAGTTGCCATGACCTTCTGAGCAGGCTTCCCTCTCTTGGCTCATCTTTGAGGTCTTCCCAACTGTCATGGATTGAATTGTGTCCCCCAAAAATATCTGTCAACTTGGCTGGGTCATGATTGCCAGTATTGTATAATTGTGTACCATTTTGTAATCTGGTGTGATTTCCTTATGTGTTGTAAATTCAGTCACTATGATCTAATAAGACGGATTAGCGCCAGTTATACTGATAAAGGTATACAAGATTGGATAGTGTCTTAAGCCAATCTCTTTTGAGATATAAAAGAGAGAAGCGAGCGGGGACACATGGGAACCTCATACTGCCGGGAGCAGAGCGAGTCCTTTGGACCTGAGGTTCCTGCGCTGAGATGCTCCCAGACCAAGGGAAGACTGATGCGTCACGAGGACCTTTCTCCAGAGCCGACAGAGAGAGAAAGACTTCTTCTGGAGCTGATGCCTTGAATTTGGACTTGTAGCTTACTGGACTGTGAAAGAATAAATTGCTCTTTGTTAAAAGCCATCCACTTGTGGTATTTCTGTTATAGCAGCACTAGATGACTAAGACACCAGCCTTCCTTAAAATGCTTGATCCTTCTAAAACCTGTTGTTTTATGTGAGGCAGCATTACCATAGCTTGTTGAAAAGCTTCAGTGAGTTGGGAAGATGTCCACTTGAGTTTTGTTAAAAATTTGATATTATCCCTGACCTCAAATCGTTCTTTTCCATGACCCAAAAATTATCCTTTTTTTGAATGCACCCTAACAAGACTAAGACGAGTTATTACTGATAGAATTTGTCAACAGCCATCCACTGACAGTAGAGACATGTTTAAAAATGTTTTGTTTGGAATAAACCCGTGCATGTATGAACTGAACCCTAGTAGCAATACTTTTTGACTTACCCTTGTGTGGATGGATGGATGGATAGATACATAGATACATGGATAGATGGCCATCAAGTTGGCCTCTGGCTCATGGCAACTCATGGCACAATGGAATGAAACACTACCCAGTTCTGTACCATCTTCATGATTGGTTGTGGATCGGACTTCTGTGATCCATTGGGTTTCATTGGCTTATTTTTGGAAGTAGATCACCAGGCCTTTCTTTCTAGTCTGTCTTAGTCTGTGAGCTCTACTGAAAACTGCAGCATCATAGGAACAAACATGCAAGGCTCCACTGACATGTGGGTGGTGCTGCACATGAGGTGCATTGGCCAGGAATTGAACCCAAGTCTCCGACTTGGAAAGGGAGAATTTTACTTCTGAACCACTTCTGTATCCCTCTATAGATCAATAGATAGTTTGATAGGGCTTTACTTCAAGAGATTGATTGATGTGATTGTGGTGGCTGGCAAGTCCAAAATCTGTAGGTCAGACGGCAGGCTGGAGATTCCTGCAGGCTTGTGTCCCAAGATCCATAGGTCAGGCGATGGAAAGAGTGCAGGGTGGAGAGAGAGGGAGAGTTCTACCAGAATATCTGTTTGTAGTTTGGAAGCAAAATGCACCCTAGGGAAACTCCCTTTTCACCTGATTGATTGATTAGATTACATTATGGAAGAGTAACAACTGTCATGTTTGGTGAAACCACTGGGAACCATAGCCGAGCTAAGTGGACACATAAAATTAACCATTACAAATAGGTAGGACACAGCCTTAGCCTTCGAGGTGATGGGTTCCCCTGGGAGGACCTCTCTCTCATATTCTGTAATGGATGTCATGTTTATTTATCCACCAAGTATTTGCCAAGTTTGTTTCTGTAATCAGTTGAAAGGGGGAGTATGAAAGGAGATTTAAGTTGCACTCACTGTGCTGAGTCTATAAGCTGCATAGGTGCTATCTTTATTTCTTTATCTCATTAACTCATCATGGCATTCCCATGAGATAAGTATGATCCCTGTTGTAAAGGTGGGGAAAATGAGCCTTAAAGAGACCACTTCTCAGGGATGGTAAGTGGCAGAGCTGGGAGTAAAATTCAAGCCCCTGACTCAGCAAGTACTCTTTCTGCTTACACTACAGCTCAGAAAACATGTTCTTTCTCTGACAGTAGTGTCACTAGTGTGACAGTGCTTACGTAAAACTCACTTTGTAGAAGCCAGTCTTGAGGTTTTTCTTCCCCAAATTCCATTGGCAGGGAATAGACAGTTGTCACGCTGGGTAGTAAGTGCCATGGTTGCTATAAGCCCAGATAAAAGGGCCCCAGCCCAACTGGGAAGAAGGGGTGAGGGAAGAACTTTCTAGGGTGGTGGTGACACAGGTAAATTTTAAAAGGTGAATAGGAGTTAGCCAGATACAAGGGGAGTGAGGACAGTGGGGGAGTAAAAATTTTAGGTAAAGGGAGCAACATAAGTAAAGTCACAGGTTTTGGACTTTGTTTGATTTTTCGTTGTTGCTGTTGTTCAGGGACTGGTTCAAGCATTCTGTGTGTGACTGTGCCTTTGTAAAACTTTTCACTAAGAAGTAAATGAAAAACAAAGATATTTTAAACATTGGCATTTTTCTTTTTCCTTCTAGGCTCGAAATGCGGAAAAGGCCATGTAAGTATCAACTGGTTTTTGGATGTAAATTTTATATAACTTAATGTCTGCCATGGAACAGTTTTTAGTATTTGGTTCTTTTGGGTTAAGCCTTTTGAGAAGCTGTTTCTTTCTCTACGTGTGTTAAAATAGCGTTCCTACATTTACCCATTTATTTTTCCCGTTAATGTTTTCTGACAGCTCCCAGACTTATACTGAATAAACTTTTGTTCACTTGGAGATGGTGCTGGGGCTCTGAGAGTGACAATTGGGGCACCCCATGATACCAGTCTTTAGGATATTTTGTTCACCACAGTGATCTGATGAGTAGAGTTCCCACAGTCCTTACACACATTGTAAGTAAAGTAGACACTTGTGTGTGTTCAAGAACACAAATGGCCTTATAAACCCTACTTTTTGGAACATGGAAACCTTTAACTGCTCTGTGATTTTTTAATCATGGTGTATATATGGACGACATTAAATATGGCCATGAGCAGTCTACCTCATCCAGGAACGTGAGTGACAAGAAATCTATGAGCAGAGTCTAACAGCATCTTCTCTATCCCTGGTAGGACGGCCTTAGCGAGATTTCGCCAAGCTCAGCTGGAAGAGGGAAAAGTGAAGGTTGGTGTATAACTTCCTCATGAACTGTAAAGTATCAAGAACAAATGCAGTAAAACTCCCTCCTGGGGAGATTTCAAACTCTATATCTTTCTGTTTTTTTCTGTACTTGCTGACACTGTTAAGAGTCTGTACACTTGAATCCCAGTTGTACTTTCCTGTAACTAGGGCAGTGCGATAATCTGGCTATTGCTTCTTCCAGCTCCTCTGTAACTTGATGGTTGAGTACCCTTATTATCCCAGCTCTGTCTAATACTGAGTATCAGAAAGTGGAGTGTGATGTGGGTAGCAGCTCTAAGCTGAAACTAGTAAATGATCTCAACTCATGGAGACTCAGCCAGGCTATGGATAGTATATACCATTCTTTGGATATTTTTATTTCTTTGTTTTTTAAAGTTTACTCTCTCACACACATATATTTATGTTAAAACTCTTTTTTTTTTTTAACATTTTTATTTTGGAAAATTTCAAACATACAAAAGTGCAGAGAATGTTATAAAGATCCCTCTGAACACAAACTCATTTACCTTCAACAGTTATCAGCTGACATTTTTTATGAAAGCAATATTCATAGACAAGTTGGAAAACAAAGAAAAATAAGAAGGGGGGAAAGCCTCTTATATTTTTACTACCCAAAGACAGCCACAGTTATTAATATTTTCTGGGTATTTCTTTTCAGTATTTTTTTCTATGCACAAGTGTATGTGTATATGTTTTAGCGTATTGTCCCATTAAATACAGTTTTATATCTTTTTTTACTTTAAATAATACAAGCATGTCTTTGTTCTAAACACTAATAACCATCATTTTTTAAAGTAGTATAAAATATTTCATGAAGTGGGTATAACCTAGTTTATTTAGCCAATTTAAGATACAGAGAATCTGAATATAATAATTGGACATTTAAGTTGTTTCCAGTATTTCACTGTATTAGAGACAATATAATGATTTTTTTTTTTCTGCCTGTATGATTGTTTCCTAAAGAGAGATTGTAGAGTGAGGTTTAGGCTTGATGAGGCTCGTCTGGAAGTGAAACTTCAAAGGTATTTAGACCATTATACATTTTAGGCTCCAGATCTGAACCAGTTGTGAATGTTGCATGCAGCTTGTAACTAGTGCAGTGGCAACATGTGCATTGTGCTTCTCCCTAGGAACGAAGACCCTTTCTTGCCTCAGAATGTACCGAGCTGCCCAAAGCTGAAAAGTGGAGACGGCAGGTACGTTCTGGGTGAATCTGATCCTAATAGAAGTAACAAGTATCTGAGTGCTTCTTATTATCTAAATAATTTTTAAGCCAGAATTCTAAGTATTTTTAATTACTAATTTTGAATTTTATTTTTCCTGTGGTTTCAGAAATATTCAAAAGTCATGAAAATTCATTACCTTTTATTTATTTCACAGATTATTGGAGAGATCTCTAAAAAAGTGGCTCAGATTCAGAATGGTAAGCTAACCCATCTCTTCAAAGTGCTTGATTCTCAAATCCACAATTAGATTTAGAGACTTTCATACTCCTCTCTCAGTAATTGATACAACAGTAGGTAGAAGATCAGTAAGGACATACAAAACCTGAATAATACTATCAATCAGTTTGCCCTAATTGACTTTTTTATAACACTTAATAACAGCAGAATACAATTTCTTTTTTTAAGTGCACATGGAACATTCATCAGGATAGAACATATTCTGAACTATAAAACAAATGTTAACAAATTTAAAATAATAGAAATCATACAGATACGTTCTCTGGTTATAACAGAATTAGCTTATAAATTAATAACAGAAAAATATCTGGAAAATTCCCAAATATTTGGAAATTAAACAACGTACTTCTGAATAACCTGTGTATCAAAGAGGAAACCACAAGAGAAATTAGAGAATATTTTGAATTGGGTGAGAATGAAAAAAAAACTAGCATGTCAAAATTTATGGGATGCAGGTAAAGCAGCAGTTCTTAGATGAAAACTTACAGCATTAAAATAATAGAAAAGGAATGTCTCAAATCAATGATCTCAGCATCAACCTAAGAAATTTAGAAAGGAGAGCAAATTAAACCCAATGCAAGCAAAATGAAGAAAAAAATAAAGATAAGATCAGAAATCAATGAAACCAATACAGAAGGTAAATCAAAAAGATCAATAAAATTGATAAACTTCTAGCTAGACTTACTAAGAAAAAAAGTAAGGATACAAATTACCAACATCAAGAATGAAATTGGGAACATCACCTCAGACTCTAAAAATTATTAAAAGGATAATAAGGGAATATTACAAACAACTTTATGCCCATAAATTCAGTAATTCAGATGAATGTAAAAACAGTGTGGAGGCAGTGTCTGAGCTCCTCTAACTTCACAAGGCGGAAGGAGAATCAAGATCAATAGGTCAGACATGTCTCTTCTCTCTGCCATCTTTACCAATTCTGGCACCGACCATTCCTCCCACAGCACTCTCTACTTCTCTTCTGGGTTTTATTATTCATTGCAGTGGCCACACAGAACTCATAGACCACACTCACGATTATGGGGTTTATTAGGGAAGTAACAGTTACAGTTCAGGCTCAGGCACACACAGGATACAGTTCCTCCATCAGGACAGCCTCTCCCCAGCTGTGCTCGCAGGCAGGCCTCTTCCTGGCCCTCGGCCTCTGCCCAAAGTCACTCAACTTTCTCCATGGGTCGGGAAGCCCACCACGCCATCTTCTGCTGCTGGGTCTCTGCTGTTGGGCCTTTCCTACCACCGCTTCTTACCATCTTCAAGGTTACAGCTTGCCCTCTGTCTCCTGGGTCCAGGAGCTTCTCAGTGTAGGGACCCCAGGTCCAAAAGATGTGCTGACTCCTGGCTATTCTTCCTTCGTGGTTCTGGGATTCTTCTTTCTGCTCTGGAATTGGCTCTCTTTTAAGGCAAAACTGACCAATCCCCTTGGTGGGCCACCATTACCCTGTCATACAGTCCTGCCCAATCACCTGGGTGGGAGTTACAAGACCATGGCTAGAAAGGCCACACAAAAGTAATCAATTGCACTGCAATGAGATGGACCAACTTCTTGAAAGACACAAACTACCAAAGCTAACTCAAGAAAAGGGGATGATTTTACCTCTCAGGGAGCATTTGGCTGTGTTGGAGAAATTTTTGGTTGTCACAACTGGTGGGTGGGATAAGAGAGGGAAGGTTGCTATTGGCATTCTATTGGGTGGAGGCCAGGGATGCTGTTAAGCATCCTGTGATTCATCCTACAAAGAATTATCCAGCCTAAAATGTCAATAGTGCCATTGTTTAGAAACAGTGCTCTAAAAGAAATAGATAACCTGAGTAGTTCTGTATCTATAAAAGAAATTGAATTCATGGTTAAAAACCTTGGAACAAACAAATCTCCAAGCCTAGATTAGACGACTTCACCGGTGAATTCTACCAAACATTTAAGGAAGAAATAATGCCACTTATACACAATCTCTTTCAGAAAATTGAAGAGGCCAGCATTACCCTGATACTAAAATCAGAAAAAGACATTACAAGAAAAGAAAAACTATAGACCAGTATCCCTCATGAATAAACATAAAAATCATCAACAAAATATTAGCAGATTAAATCCAGCGATATATAAAAAGGGCAGTACATCACAGCCAAGTTGGATTTATCCTGGGAATGCATGGCTGATTGAGCATTTAAAGCTCAATTAATATAATTCACCATATCATTCCAAAGAAGGAAAACCATATGATCATCTCCATAGATGCAGAAAAAGTATGTGACAGAATTCAACATTCTTTCATAATAAAAACAGTAAACTGGGAATAGAAGGGAACTTCTTTACCCTGGAAAAATGCTTCTACCAAAAATCCTACAGCCATCATCATAGTGGTGAAAGACTGAATGCTCTCCTAAGATCAGGAACAAGGCAAAGATATCTATTCTCCCCACTTTGGCATTGTCCTGGAAGTTCTAGCCAGTGCAATAAAGCAAGAAAAGGAAATAAAAGGCATACAGATTAGAAAGGAAAAAATAAAACTGTCTCTATTCTCAGAGGACATAATTTTTATTACGTGGAGAATCCCAAGGACTCTACAGAAAGGCTCCTGAAAAGAATAACTGAGTTTAGCAAGGTCACAGAATACAAGGTCAGTAAATAAAAATCAGTTTTTTTTTTTTTTTTATGTACTAGCAATGAACCATTAGAAATGGAACATTTTTTAAAAGTACTTTTTATAATAGCAACCAAAACACAAGAAATATTTAGGTATAAATCCAACAAAATATGTGCCAGATCTGTGTACTGAAAAGTAGGAAACAAGAATGAAAGAAGTCAAAGATGACCTGAATAAATGGAGAGATATATACTATGTTCATGGATCGAAAGACAGCATGGTAAACATGTCAGTTCTTTCTCTCTTCACATACAGATGCAATCAAAATCCCAACACGTTTCTTGTATATGTTGAAATCCTTGAAGAAAGTCTCTGTCCTTTCTTGAAAGGGCCAATCCCTCACAGAATGCTGCCAGGCGTGAATGTTTACACAGCTTCTGCGTCTTGCTGGCATTTGCCAGGTTTTTTTTTCCCCAAGATTTTGCTATTTTAATTGGTGTATACTCTGCAGGGTTTTTCCAGTTTATATTTCTTCAGTTGCTAATGAGAATAGAGTTTTGTTTTTTTTTTCCCTGCGTTAGTGGGAACTCTGCTCTCTGCTTGTAATTCTTGCCCTTTCATTTATTTGGGTATTGATTTTTTCTTATAAACTTGAATATTTTTATGTAATATACCTTTGTAGGTATGACATTTTTAAGGCTATGACATTGAGTGGTATTTTGAAGGAATGATGTTAATATTTTTGTTTTATAGCTGGTTTAGGTGAATTCCGAATTCGTGACCTGAATGATGAAATTAACAAACTGCTGAGAGAAAAAGGACACTGGGAGGTCCGGATAAAGGAGCTGGGTGGCCCTGATTATGGAGTAAGTGAGCAGCAGCCCCAGTGGCGTTTGGTTTGTGAGCCTGTGAGCTTTTTGGCAGGCTGAGTAGGTTCCATCTGGCTTTGCAGCTCCTAGCCCATACCTGCCACAGAGCAGCACTCAGTAAATGAAAGAAGGCTTGAAAAGTGCCTGACATGTATGGACTGGAAACCTGTGAAAAGGATGGGTAGGATAATGCTTAAAATTCCGCAGCATAGGCCTTAGAGGCTGAAAGGGCCTTTGTGACAACTAGCCTGATGCTCTTGAGTAAACCACTTAATCTCTCAGTGCCTCAGTTTCCTTTTCTTTAAGATGACCATGGCCTCCTCACATACCTTCGCTGAGCTCCTTGGGAATTGGGTGCAGCCATGCAGTCGTTTGTTGGCTTCTTTACCTGAGGGGCCTCAGGAAACTCCATTCTTTCCCTTCTTTAGATTCTTATACATGCAATACTCTAGAACAGTGGCTTTCAAACTTTTAGGACCATGACCCATTGCAAAACACACACACATACGCACACACACACACACTTTGTATCAAAACCCAGTACACACAAAGTGTACTGAAAAAATACTATGTGTGATGCACTTTGATATTTTTTATTCTGTTCTGTTTTTTTTTTTTTTTTAAATGATGGTCGTGTCCCACTTAATTGATCTCGTGACCCACTAATGGATCTTGACTCTGAAAAACAGTGCTCCAGAACCTGACGCATTTACTTATTTGTGAGGAGATCTACCTTGATCATTTGAACCAGTGGTATCTAATCAGGGGGCTGTAATATATCACACAAGAAACATGCTATTTTTCTACATGTTGATCTTTTTACCTTTATGAAAGTCTAACACAAAACCATAGTTCTCACTTTAGTACCTGGCCTACAAATAAAACATTTATTCCCCTGTTGCTCATTTATTGAGCACCTATTCTGTTCTAGGCACTCTGCTGGAACTTTCTCGTGGGTTGTCTCACTTAACTTCTTCAGCAGGTCTGTGATGGAGATTTTATTTTTCCCGTCAGACCGCTTTAAAGTAACGCAGAATTTTGTTAACCCTCCTAGAAAATTGACCTCACAAGCATTAAAAAATGAATATGTAAACTATTTTTAAGTTCCACCACCTAAATTTAACATTATTAATGTTTTTATATAGTTTCTTCTAGACTGTTTTTTAATGATTAAGAATTTTATTTTCATCTTCTAAGTATGAAAGTAATACATTATTATTGTAGAAAATTTATAAAGTTCAGAGAAGTGTAAAGAAACAGAACACAAGTCAGTCATAATCTCATTTCCTAGCTACAAGCACTGGAATACTTCCTTCGGTTGTTTTTCTATGAATGCTTTTCCATAATTCAGATCACACTCACCATATGTATTTTGGTTCCAGTTTTTAATTTCTTTTCAGTGTGGTAACTTTGATTATATAAACAGTATGTATTTATTTTTCTAGAATTTTTTATGTACATATATTTGCTTGTTTTTACAGAAATTAATTCATATTCTAATTACATGCTGTGTTTACTTAACAGTAAGTCTATCAGAGACACATTTTCATGTCAATAAATGACCATTTAAAAAGCTTTTTTTAACTCACAGAAAGTTGGAAAATAGGACAGAGAACTCCCATAAACCGTTTCTGCAGATTAACCAGTTTTTAACATTTTTCCTGTATTTGCTTGATCATTTTCTGTGTGTACCTTGAGATTGATTTTTTTGAACCATTCGAAGGTAGGTTGACTACATCATGCTCCTTTACCCGTTAATACTTCTGTGTGCATTATCTAAGAGTAAGAATGTTTTCTTATATAACCATGTTCAGTTATCAAAATTCGAGAAATTTAACTTTTATGTAATAATTTTTATCAAATTAACTCCATGGCAACAAGTTTGTTTGGTTTCGGTTTTGTCTTTAGAGCATTTTTTTCTCCCCTGTTATAGGACCCAGCCCAGGATCACATACTGGTTTTAGTTGTTGACATTATTATTATTTTTTTTCTACATTTTATTTATTTTGTTGTTGTCGAGAATATACACAGCAAAACACAAACCAATTCAGCAGTTTCTGCATGTACAGTTTAGTGACATTGACTACATGCTTTGAGTTGTACAAACATTCTTACCCTCCTTTCCTGGGTGTTCCTCCATCATTAACATAAACTCGCTGTCCCCTAAGGTTCCTATTTAATCTTTCAAGTTGCTGTTGTCAGTTTAATCCCATATAGATATTCTTAAAGCAGCATAATGCTCATGGCAGACATTTTTTACTAGTTAAACTAAACTGTTGTTTGGTTTTAAGAAGACTTCAGGGGATATTTTTGATTTAAGGTTTAAAGATTGTCTCAGGGCAGTAGTTTCAGGGGTGTGGACATTGTTTTTAATCAATAGAATGCTTCTTCTGGATGTATTTAATTTGTCTTCTACTGATTCTCATTTAGGGTGTTCGAAATTTTTTCTTAAGCTTGTGTCACTTAACATCATATCATAAGCATTTTTCTTAGTCAATATAAGAGTTTCATAAGAACTATCATTCATAAAGTATAGAAAATATTCCATAAGTGATTATGTTGTAATTTACTTAAATCATCCCTCTTGTTAGATATCTAGGTTGATTTTTTTAAGTGATAAAAAAGTATAATAACCGTCTTTGTACATAAATATTTTCTACATTTAGCATTATTAACATATATTTGCAAACATGGGAGTAGTGGGTTTAAAGATCAGATCCATTTTCTCTTTTTCCCTCCCAATAAGAAAGTTGGCCCTAAAATGCTGGATCATGAAGGGAAAGAAGTCCCAGGAAATAGAGGTTACAAATACTTCGGAGCAGCGAAAGATCTGCCTGGTGTTAGAGAGCTATTTGAAAAAGAACGTAAGTAACTCATGTTTGTGAAAGTTTTAGCCTCTAGTTGGTTGGTAATAAACATAAAAGCAAGTGTGCTATGTGCTAGATGCTTTTCCTATGTTATTTCTTAGCTGCGTAACAGCCCTGTAGTGTAGGAATTATTGTTCCGTTTTACCATGAGAAACGTAACTGGGAACTGAACTCACAGGCCCAAGACCACACAACTGGGGCTGGAAAGTGAGCCCAGAATTGGCTGGTGCTAAATCCCACACATGCCAGTCTCTCAGTCTCAACAAGGAGTTTCCCTGTTTGAAGTTTCCGGAAACTGTCAGGGCAGACTCCGAAGCTCATTAAATCAGGTTCATGTTTCAGTTACTATTAGTTGAAAAACTATACCTGAAGAACAAATAAAATTTTGGACAGAACCCCCGTATGTGAACATGGATCACAGGGGAGCTGCCTTGTGTGAAGAAAGTGGGGAGCCCTCACCTGCCCTCCTTTCCCCTCTGTTCTCCACCTCCCACAGTGTCCCCTGGGGACCTTCAGCCAAACTTCAGGGCTTTAAAAAGTGCAACTTGAAACCTCTTGTCTAGAGTTTTAGTGCATTTGAATCTTACTTTTTAGAAAAGTAGTCTAAACACATTATAGAAAAAAATGTGAAAAGCAAAGAAGCATGATACCAGTATTCTCTCCACTGTTGGCATTTTGTTCTATTTCCTTCCAGTTGGTTTTCCTATTTTAAAACACAGTTATATTTGTACTAAATCCTTTTTTAAAAAAATCATTATGCAAAAGTGCAACTTGAAACCTCTCGTCTAGAGTTCTAGTGCATTTGAATCTTACTTTTTAGAAAAGTAGTCTAAACACATTATAGAAAAAAATGTGAAAAGCAAAGAAGCATGACACCAGTATTCTCTCCACTGTTGGCATTTTGTTCTATTTCCTTCCAGTTGGTTTTCCTGTTTTTTCAAAACACAGTTATATTTGTACTAAACCTTTTTTGAAAACATCATTATGCCAAAACCAGTTTTGCATGCTTCATTACCATCACTTAAAAATCATTCAAAGTTTATAAATATCATGCTGTTAATTATGAAAGCAATATATTTTAGTTACAAAAAGTTGTAAAATACAAAACCCACAAACAAAAGGAACTCAGCACAGGAGAGTAAGAGGAACAAAACTGGAGGACATTGTGCTGAGTGAAATAAGTCAATCACAAAAGGACAAATATTGTATGAGACCTTTACTGTATAACTCATGTAAAAGTTTACACACAAAAAGAAACAATCTTTTTTGGTTACGAGGGATTGGGGCTGGGGAACTAAGTAGATAAGTGGTAACTTTGGTGAAGGGTAAGACAGTACACACTACTGGGGAAGCTAGCATAACTTGTACAAGGAAAGGTCATGGAAGCTCCATAGACACATCCAAACTACCTGAGGGACTGAATTGTTGGGCGGAGGGCTGTGGGGACCATGGTCTCGGGGAACATCTAGCTCAATTGGCATAACACAGCTTATAAAGACAATGTTCTACATTCTACCTGGTGAGTAATGTCTGGGGTCTTAAAAGCCTGTGAGCAGCCATCTAAGATACTCCACTGGTCTCACCCAGTCTGGAACAAGGGAGAATGAAGAGAACAAGATACAAGGAAAAGATTAGTCCAGAGGACTAATGGACCACAACCAGCACGGCCTCCACCAGACTGAGTCCAATACAGCTAGATGGTGCCTGGCTACCTCCACTGACTGCTCTGACCGGGATCACAATAGAGGGTCCTGGACAGAGCTGGAAAAGGATGTAGAACAGAATACTAACTCACAAAAAAAGAGCAGATTTACTGGGCTGACAGACTGGAGAAACCCTGAGAGTATGGCCCTCAGACACCCTTTTAGCTCAGTAGTGAAGTCACTCCCGAAGTTCACCGTTCAGCCGGGGATTGGACAGCCTCATAAAACAAAACAGGACTAATGAGGCACAGCAGTCCAGGAACAAGGACTAGAAGCCAGGAGGGGACAGGAAAGCTGGTGATAGGGAGACCAAGGTTGAGAAGGGACAGTATTGACATGTCAGGGGGTTGTTAACCATTGTCATAGGGCAATATGTGTAGTAACTGTTTAATGAGAAACTATTCTGCAAACCTTCATCTAAGGTACGAAAAAGAAAAAAGAATTATCTGTGTGAGATCAAATTGACAACAGCAACTCAGAAGGTTTGATGGGAAGCCTAGGAGGCAGTGAGTTGAAGGTAATGATGATGGGATAATTTGGAAAAGAATAGTGAGAATAGCAGCACAACTGGAAGGATGTAATCGATGTCACTGAATTGTACATGTAGAAACTTTCAAAATGGTATAACTTTGGCTATGTATATTTTCACCAAAAAAAAGGTCCTCAAGGTTGAGAAGGGAGAGCGTTGACATGTTGTGGGGTTGTTAACCAATGTCATTAAACAATATGTGTACTGACTGTTTAATGAGAAACTATTTGTTCTGTAAACCTTCATCTAAAGTACAATAAAACAATTT